CGGGAAGCGGAAAAGGGTTTATCACGATTTCCGGCAAAACTACAAGTCCTATCGAAAAAAGTTAAATAGCAATAAAAAGATCTACAACTTTTGTATTTACACTTTTTTTACATAACCTCAAAATTTATGCGAAAAATGCAAATAACGGAGTTTTTGGTTTTTTATTTTTATCTCCCACAAATTTTTTTTTCACGAAATTTGGTGAAAACTTACCTATTTATGTCCCAAAGTCACTGTAATTTTTTTGATTGAAAATATTTATTTTTCCCCCTTATTTTGATTTAATATCGAAAAACCACCTTAATTTTGCTTGACTGATTTTTATGAAATTTTCTGTCGATATTCGGTAGGTCTGAGAATGGGTCGTAAACATAAAAAATCGAAATACCGAGAAATCGAAAAATCAAAACATCGAGAAATCGAGAAGTCGAAAAATCGAAAAATTGAGAAACTGATAAATCGAGAAACTGAAGAATCAAAATATCGAACCATCCAAATCTCGATAAATCGGGAAATCAAAACAATGAAAAATAGAAAAATTTTAAAAATGAAAAATTAAAAAATCGAAAATTTGAAAAAACGAAAAATTGAAAAACAGAAAATCTAAAACCGGGAAGTGGAAACATCGGGAGATTAAGAAATCGAAACATCTGAAAAATTCGAAAAATTGAAATATCGAAGAACTGAAATGAAAAATCGAGAAATCGAAAAATTTTAAATTTTTAAAATTGAAAAATCAAAATATCAAAAAATTGAAAAATCTGAAATTTAAAAATCTAAAAAATTCAAAAATCAAAAAAGTAAAGTACAAAAATCGAAACCTTAAAAAAATCTAAAAATTGAAAAATCAAAAACCTGAAAAATCGAAAAATTGAAGAATTATTTAACTGGAAAATCGAAACATTCGAAAGTTAAGAAATGGGAAAATCAAAAGATCGGTTAATTAAAAAATCAAAAAATTGAAAATTTAGAAAACCAAAAAATAGAAAAATTGAAAAATCAAAAACCTGAAGAATCGAAAAATTGACGAATTGAAACACTGAAAAATCGAAACACTCGAAAGTCCAGAAATGGGAAAATCAAAACATCGATTAATTGAAAAATCGAGAGTTTATAAAAGTGAAATTTGGCAAATTGAAAAACCGAAAAATTGAAAAACAGGAATTAGGAAGATCAAGAAATCGAAACGTTTGAAAAATTCGAAAAATTGAAATATTGAAGAACTGAAATGAAAAATCTAGAAATCGAACAATTTTAAATTTTAAAAATTGAAAAATTAAAATGGCAAAAAATTGAAAAATCTGAAATTTAAAAATCGAAAAAGTAAAAAAACAGACACATCGAAAAATTCAGAAGTCAAAAATCATAAAGTCGAAGAAACGAAATATCGAAAAATCCCAAAACTAAAACCTTGAAAAACTAAAAAATGAAAAAAAAAACTGAAGAATGGAAAAACTGAAAAATCCCAAAACTGAAATATCCAAAAACTGAAAAATTGGGAAATCGAAAAATCAAAAAAGTGAAATCGAAAACCCGAAAAATCGAAACATTGAAGGATTGAACAATAGGAAAATCGACACACTCGAAAGTCAAGAAATGGAAAAATCAAAACATCGATTAATTGAAAAAATCGAAAAATTGGGAGTTTAGAAAAATCAAATTTGGAAAATTAAAAAATCGAAACATTTGAAAAATTCGAAAAATTGAAAAATTGAAATGTTGAAGAACTGAAATGAAAAATCGAGAAATCGAAAAATTTTAAATTTTAAAAAATTAAAATACCTAACAATTGAAAAATCTGAAATTTAAAAATTGAAAAAAAATGAAAAATCGAAAAACTAAAAAATCTACACATTGAAAAATTTAGAAATCAAAAATCGTAAAGTCGAAGAAACGAAATATTGAAAAATCCCAAAACTGAAACATCGAAAAACTGAAAAATGATAGAAAAACTAAGGAATGGAAAAACTGAAACATCCGAAAACTGAAATATCCAAAAACTGAGAATCTAAAAAATAGAAAAATTGAAAAATCAAAAACCTGAAAAATCGAAAAAATGACGAATTGAAAAACTGAAAAATCGAAACACTTGAAAATCCAGAAATGTGAAAATAAAAACATCCATTAATTGAAAAATCGAAAAATTGAGAGTTTAGAAAAGTCAAATTTGGAAAATTAAAAAATCGAAACATTTGAAAAATTCGAAAAATTGAAAAATTGAAATATTGAAGAACTGAAATGAAAAATCGAGAAATCGAAAACTTTTAAATTTTAAAAATTGAAAAATTAAAATACCAAAAAATTTAAAAATCTGAAATTTAAAAATCGAAAAAATAAAAAATAGACACATCGAAAAATTCAGAAGTCTAAAATCGTAATGCTCGAAGAAACGAAATATTGAAAAACCCCAAAACTGAAACATACCCTTACCCCTAGGTGATAAGTGTAGCCCACCTAAAACATTTTTGTTTTATTTTTCGGACAAAATTTTTTATATTTATTTTTTAAGATTTTCACCCTTCTACCACCAACCCCCATTTTGCAGTAACGATATTAGTATAGGGTTGCAAGATGGCTGTGGAATATAATCATTGTCGTACGATACATTTTTTTGTATAATTTATAATTTAATTTAATTATAATCTATTTATTTATTTTAATTTAATTCATATGGCAAAACAACGTTTGCTGGGTCTGCTAGTTTGACGATAAAAATTTGTAAAATTTGGCCAATATTTAAAAAAAAAAACATGCAAACAAAGAAGATATCGCAAAAAATGTATTACAATTAATCAAATATATTTATAAATGTAAAAATGACAATATAACACTGAATCAATTGAGATTTCGAAAATCAATTGGCAAGAATTAAATCATCTTTCATATTGACAAATCTCCCAACAGAAAGCGTTTGTTTCATAGATTTTCAATTTTTTAGTTTATCAATGTTAACATGGAATCTTACTGTTTTCGAGTAATTAAAGTGTAAATTTTAATAAACAGCTCAAAATTTTAAATTTCCTGTGAAAATTTGCCATAGTAAGGTATACTTTTTTTCACCATCAGAAAGTAGTGATTTCAACGAACAAAAAGCACACCGATTTTTTTAAAAAAGCAAACATTTTGACGTGAGAATTTTCGATTGGAAATTAGGGTCGTTTTTCGATATTACATCAAAATAAGAGGCGAAAATAAATATCTTGAATAAAAAAAATTACAGTGAGTTAATAGTAGTAAATAGGTAAGTTTTCACCAAATTTCGTGAAAAAAAAAAATTTGTAGAAGATAAAAATAAAAAACCAAAACTCGGTTATTTGCATTTTTTGCATAAATTTTGAGGTTAAGTAAAAAAAGTCTAAATACAAAAGTTGTAGATCCTTTTATTACCTAGAATTTTGCTATTTAACTTTTTGGATAGGACTTGTAGTTTTGCCGGAAATTGTGATAAACCGTTTTCTACCCTTAAAAGCTCCCCCTCTTCCACTTCCCGACCTCAGATCGCCCGTAAATTATTATTTTTTTTATATTTTCTTTCTTTTCCAATGGGTATCATCCTGTTCTAAACTTTTTTGTTCTCAAAAATTATTGGTACGAAGGGCTAAACATTCTCTCTAGTGAAATTCTACCCAATATAATTTACAGTTTTCAAAATGAACAGAGTTAATTTCATGTTTTCAGAGTTAATTAGCTAAAGACCACCAACCTGATCCGATCAAAGGTGACCTAACCAGTGCGGATCATTTTACAATCGTCACTAACCCTGATGTGCCGTCCAACACTTATAATCAAAAAATTTTAGTGAATGCAGAAATAACTTTTCGAATATAATGTGTTTTTGGTTTTTCTAGTTGTAAAACGTTTCCAACCTGACCGTTACTTTCATCTTCATGTTTTAGTAAATTTTGTAGATATGTACTTTATTGTACCTTTTATAATATAACCAGTTGTCTTGAAAAAGACTGATAATAATTTTATACGATTCACAACAAACATTTGTATACCCTCAAACATACTAGTTTTCTACGTAAATCGTGACATTTCGTCTTAGAAGTGTGGTAATTTTAGATAACAGTTGTAGGTGATTGAAACATGTAACTTTCCTCACTCGAGCGAACAATAACTTTATCTGATTCTACCGTGTAATAGCTACAACAGTGACATTCACCTTCAAGTGTTATAATAATTTAAATTTAAATTTTTATCGTAGCGACCGAATATTGTCCTTTGACACACAGTAAATACACACCACATTATTATTCTAACAACGAACTAAAAAAATGACACCAAAACTACATACAGTAACATATGATAAGTGCGGTTCTGAATGAAACAACAAAAGAGAAATAGCGATGATTCATCTCAACCTGAATTTATCCAAATAGCCTCCATAAATTCGAAGATTTCTGGCACTGTTAGTTTGGAAGTCCTGCAATTGTTGTCTTTGTTATGCACTCTATACATGAAGCAATCAACCACTTGCAACAAAACACATTATAGCACAAAGTAATGATACAATTGTGGCTATTTAGGGCCACTGGTACAAAGAGCTCGATATCGAATTACACACTTGACTACTGGTAACCCAATCCAAGAAGCCTTCGGAAGCCCCTGTTCCCAGCATCCACCACGTTCGTTAATTTATTAATATCAGAATCGCTCAACGACTATCTCGTTTTATTTTCGTACATGGAATTTTTAAAAATAACACGTGCATTTTGGTATCGTTTCAACTCGAACAGCGATGTAGCAACAATTCCGTTCCCGACAGTGATTAGCGTTCCCGTTAAGTAAACCGACAGACAACCAAAGGTAGTGGAGCGTGATTGCAACCCGTTTTAATGACCCATAATCATCTGACCCACAAGCACCCACCGATCCACACCCCCAAAGCTAACCTTATTCTGGGCAACAAAGACACAGAGATGTCATCCAAAATAGCGCCACAAAATCGCTATCGATTCACACGAGGGTTTCGGGGGTTGATTGTTGAGTCGACTTACCTGTAAATTGTTTGTGTTTTGCTGGTAGTGTTGATGTAATCCGTGTTTTGTTGATGACACTTGCAACAAACCAGACCGACTATTTCAAACGAACTAAGTGAAACATAACTTGAAAAGCACACCGGCACGCACTGCACTTTTCATGCTCGCCGGTCTCGCGCTGAAATTGGGGCACTAAGACACCGCATTCCTTTCAACATAGCTTTATTTTCCTGAAAATAAACCTGTTTCTTTCTATTTCTACACCCTACTTGGTGGTCTCGGTGTCTCGGCGGCTGTCAACTGATCGCCGATTAGACATCTAGCGGGAAAGTATGGAAGTAGCGGTGTGATAATGGAAGTTTCTGTAATAATGACAAGGAAAATAGCGATGCTGTTTATTAAATATTTAAAGAATTCTACCTTAAACTGAAATAAGTCGTGTTTTAACTAAATTTAGTTTTTTATTGAAGCATTGCTGATAAAATATCAAATTTGAAATTAAGTTATGAGTTTTTGCAGATTATAATAGAATACTTCGTGAATAGTAAATCACAAGCCGTGTAGATGGAGTCACTAACAAATGACAAATCGAAGATTTTGTTTCAAAATTGATTTATGAATTTTTTCCCGCCAATTTCTTTAGTAACCAACGTTTTTCCTCAAATGTGGCGTAACTTGGTTTAGCAAATTAAAAAAAAATAAATCCAAAAATTGTTTGTTTCCTTTGAAAAGCGCCCATTCAAAATAATTCCGATTGTACAGGGTGTTTCGCTTTGTCTTAGTTTTTTTTTAAACAGAACTCCGTCAGTGTTCTTAACATTCTTGCTGAAATATTTTTGGGAAGATAACCAAACAAGATACTTATATCCATTGAAAAAGTTTGGAACAATCTTGGAACCCCTAGTGTGGTTTTTAAAGAATGTGAAAGAACTTTTGCGTCCTTATGTTTTGTTTTGTGGATTTTTAGTTAACTTTTTAAAAATCTCAATTTTTTCAATATAATTTTTTTACCAGTTTTCAAACACTTCCGAAAATTAACTAAAGAGTTTTTTTATACATTTTGATTTCCAGAAGTTATTTTCGTCTTAATTTCCTGGAAAATTGCCACCATTTTTCCACAATTTACAATATGAAATTTTTTAGAATTTCAATATTCACAAGGAATAACGTCATTACAACAGTGGCGGCTGGTGACCTTTTGAAATGGGGGGACACAATTTGATTGATGAGTTAAATATGAAGAAATAAAACAGGTTGTCATTACCAATTAATAGACGAAATTGTGTGACGGAAATAAATACAAAAATATATTCAATAAAAATAAAAAAGGATTTCTCCACATACCTTTTTGCCTTCGGTGTTCATGGCATCTAAAAGTTCATTTTGGACAGTTTTAGGCGTTCCTTTAAAAACCGTTGCTTCTTTCAAATGATCTGATAAAGTCGAATTCAGCCATAAAATCAATCAGACCTCGAAATATATCTGGATTTTGTGATTCCCTACTTTCGTCATGTCCACGTAAAGCAAATCCAAACACTCCACAAAATTTTATGCACATTATCAATCGGCGTAATATATGGCGATTTTTGTCGACCCTTGCGTTATGTGCCCGAATATTATTAATATAAGCGGTGTGCAGTTGTTTCCGAATGTCTGTATTACCGAGAAGATTATCCAAGAATATTTATCATACGTATTCGCGCAGAAGGAAAATTAAAACCCGCAGTAGTAACTCAATCCTCCAGAGCACGATGGCATTGGGCTCACAAGCCAGTTGTATCAGGCGCATATCAAGCGGCCACGACGTGTACTTTCCATTGCACCGGTGTAAACAAAACATCTAAATCGGTCATGATTCGGTTCATTCGGTCTCTGTGCTCGGCTTTTATCAGCATTTCATCAGAAATAACATATCATATATCCAAGGCATATCTTTAGATGCAAGTGGAAGTAAGTTTTGATACATTTTATACAAGTGGAGCGAGATAAAAAAATTAGTTTTGATAATTATGACACAAATTTCCAGATAATTTTTTAAATATTGAAAATTACTATTTTGCTATGTCCAGTGTGTTTGTAGACGTTGTAATTTTGGGGGGGCACGTGCTCTTGTGCCCCCCGGCACCAGCCGCCCCTGCATTACAATTGACGGTGGGTAGGTGAAGTTTAAATTTACCTTTTTTCTGGATAAACGTAACAAACTTTTCACGACAATATATTGAAAACGTTTAAAATAGTTTTTTTTTTCGGGAAACATCGATTTTGCCATTAAGCTCCGCCTCTCGGTCTGGCAACGAATGAAAAATTCATCACAAATGAGATTTGGGCGGGTGGGTGGGGCTTATTTTTTGACTTTTTTTTCTTTACATATGCAGTTTTGTTACTTAAAAATATGTTTCACGTGGTACTTTCTTGTAAAGAAATAAGCATTTTGCAATAAACTCCGCCCTTCGGTTCACAACGAATAAAAACGTTATCACAATTCAGATGAGGGCGGGTGGGCGGGCTTTGTATTTTGCCTCTTTTTTAATAAATGTACGTAGTTTTCTTTTCACAGCAAGAAACTGAAAACATGTATAAAAGGGTAAATTTGTAGACATATCGAGATAAAATTTACCATTTTATACATGTTTTCAGTTTTTTGTTGTGAAGAAAAGGCTATGTATGTTAAGAATAAAAAATGAAAAATAGAAGCCCCACCCACCCACCCTATCTCAATTGTGACGATTTTTATTTGTTCGTCGTTAATCAGGGGAGGCAGAGCTTAACTGCAAAATCCGTATTTTTCCACACTCATATTGAAATATTTTTGGAGAGATAAACAAACAAGATAAACACTGTTGGAGACTGTTCTATTGAAGAAGTGGTTCTTAAAGAATGTGAAAGAATTTTGAAGCCCCTAGTGTGGTTTTTAAAGAATGCGAAAGAATCTTGGAGTACTTATGTTTTGTTTGGAAAAGAGTATATTTTTTGGAGTCAGCTGATTGAGGTGTATATTTCAGATTTGTTTGTGGATTTTTAGGTAAGTAACATTTTAAAATCTCAATTTTTTCAACATACATTTTGTACTTGTTTTCAAGACTTCTGAAAATTAACTATAGAGTTTTTTTTATATATTTTGATTTCCAGAAGTTATTTTCGTCTTAATTCCCTGGAAAATTTTCAATATGAAATACAACAATTTTTTAAAATTTCACAAGGAATAACATCATTACAATTGACATGGCGGTGGGTAGCTGGAGCTTAAATTTTACCTTTTTTTGGATAAACGTAACAATTTTTTCACGACATAATATTTAAAATCTTTAAAATGGTAATTTTTTTCCGGAAACATCGATTTTACAATTAAGCTCCGCCCCGCGGTCTGACAACGAATGAAAAGTTCATCACAACTGAGATTGGGGCGGGTGGGTGGGGCTTATTTTTTGACCTTTCTTCTTAACATATAGTTTGCTTTCAAAACATGTTACTTAAACACATGTTTCAGGTGGTAGTTTCTTGTAGAGAAATAAGCAACAAAGTCCGCCCTTCGGCTCGCAACGAATAAAAACGTTATAACAATTAAGATGAGGGCGGATGGGCGGGCTTAGTAATTTGTTTTTTTTGTACATACCTATATGTGCGTAGTTTTCTTTTCACAACAAGAAACTGAAATATGTATAAAAGGATAAATTTTGTAGACAAGTGTGGGGGATAAAATTTACTATTTTATACATGTTTTCAGTTTCTTGTTGTGAAGGGAAGACTATGTATATTAAGAAGAAAAAGATGCAAAACAGAAGCCCCAACCACCCACCCTATCTCATTTGTGACGATTTTTCTTTGTTCGTTGTTAGTCAGAGAAGGCGGAGCTTAATTGCAAAATCGGTATTTTTCCACACGAATTACTATGTGAACAGTGTTCTTCAGTGACGGTTTTACTCAAAGAAAACTATATTTAGAAAGAAAAAAAAAAGGCCAAAGGTAAACTCCACCCCTTCGTCTGGATCTCAGTCGTGATGAATTTTCCATTCGTTGTCAGACTGAGGGGTGGAGCGTAATCGCAAATTCCAAATTTCCTCTTTGAAACATGTATAAACAAAAGCAGATGGCGCCATTAACAGAAAACAAACCAAATGCAAAGCAAAGATTTTATCTCAGAATTTCTTTATAAGTAAATATTTTTTCGCCAATTTCTTTAAGAATATTTTCTCGGATGGCATGTGAATTTGAATTTTATAACCAACTTTTCTCCTCAAATGTCACCTAATTTGGTTTAAAAAAAAAAGTTAAAGCCTAAAATTATTTGGTTCTTTGAACAGCATCCCTCAAAATTATTTGCATAAGAGTGTTTAGTTTTGACTTTGGTTTTTTTTTAAATAGAACTCTGTCAAGGTTTACAAAAACTCGTATTGAAATATTTTTGTAAAGATAAACGAACAAGATAAACACTCTTGGAGACTCTTTTCTATTGAAAAAGTTTGCAAGAATCCTGGTACTTCTAGTGTGGTTCTTAAAGAATGTGAAAGAATATTTGAATTCTTATGTTTTCTGTGCAACAAAGTATGTTTCTTGGATTCAGCTCATCGAGGTCTATACCCCAGATTTTTTGTGGATTTTTAGGTAACTTTTTAAAAATCTCAAATTTTTCAATATACAGTTTTTTACTAGTTTTCAAACACTTTCGAAAATTAACGAACGAGTTTTTTTATACATTTACGATCTACTTTTCATAAAAAAAAAAATGGTGAAAATACGTAAAGCGTAAGACGTAGTTGCAAAATATAGCGTGTTCTATTTGAAAAAACTAAAATATCGATATTTTTTCAGCTTTGCTTTTCTGGAGTACGTCTCATGTAACACTCAATATGTTTTGATCTCAAAATTTCTTCAAGAATATTTTCTCTGATGGCATTTGCCATTAAATTTGAATTTTATAGTCAATGTTTTTCCTCAACTGTCGTGTCTATTGTAACTTGATTTATCAAATTAATACAGAGTGAATCACTAAATTAAAAACAAAGTAAAAGCATAAAATGGTATGGATTTTTGATAGGCATATACTAACATTATTTTCAACTATACAACTATACAGTATGTCCCCGGATTGAGTTCACAAGAGGAAAAAAAACTGTATTTTCTATTTTACAAAAAAATGACGTAGGTATAACATTTTTTGCTTATTTTAAAACGAATAAATCTGCAATTAAAATTTTAATATCAGGCTGTGTCCTTAAAATCGAAAAAAAAACTAAAAGTAACGAAGAACTTAGAAATATGAAAAAATTAATTTTAAGTGTACAGACCAGGAATATTGAAGTTTTA